AGTTGTTAATTAAGTGGTTAGCAAATTCACGGCCATTATCAGAATGAAGAATAGATGGAGGTCCAAATAAAAAAAAAATTCTATTAAGTTCTTGGCAGTTTCCAATGCAGTCTTAGTTTTCATTGGGCGCAACACTCAAAATTTCGTTAAATGATCTTGGTAATTTGATATAAATTTATAGTCTCCATCGGGATCCGTTTACTTAAAATTGGTTTAACAGCGATGCCTTTCTTATGTGCAGTTTTCTTCAATTGACTGGTTTCACACAATTTTTGGTATACGATAATAACTTCTCTAGTAATGTTTGCATATTTTTTTCTCAGCTCTTCTTCCAATCCTAAAACAAAGTACGTTTACACGTAATAACAAAAAAAAAATAGTTACAATGCTGAACAAACCTTTAAGTATGACGTTTATGACCTGTAGCGAGATGTGCCTGGTGAATGATCAGAAACAGTTCATCAGTCGAAACAAAATATAGTATCGCATCGCAATCTTATATTCGTTTTTTAATTAACTTTTCCACACCACCTACACTTATTATGTCAAATCGCTTGATTCTCCTATACTGCTTAGCAGATAGAGGTTCCGACTTAGCTTTCAACATATTTGCTTAGCAGATAGAGGTTCCGACTTAGCTTTCAACATATTTGCTTCCTTAATTTCTTTTAATGTGTAATGTTCTCGCGAGATAAGATTATGTTTTTGTGCTCCTACCTTCAGCAGTTGAGCTACTTGAAAGTCGAATTCACTTTGCATATTTAATAACAACACCAACTCAAACATCCACAATTCACAAGCGCCAGTCAGATAATCTTCAAAACATAAGGAAGAACATAAACCTACTTTTAATTCGGATTCCGGCATCATTGCATAAGACGATCAGACCTAGTTCAGGTCATTTAGAAATCAGCAAAACTAGTTCTGTACAATTCGAAATGCACAGAACTAGTTCTGCTCATTTTGTAACGCTCAATAGCCGAATAAATGTAATATTTCGGGTTGGGTAAAACATTTTTGCTCAGAACTAGTTTTTTACATTTATTTCGGATAATGTCCGAATTCGAATATTAAGAGTAACACACATAGTCATCCAGATGCGATATCGCTGTTCAACCTACTTTCTTTCTTTGACATCTCAGAGATAAACCCTACAGGCTACTCTGGGCTTCACAAAACATATACTTGATTTCTGCAACCAACAATGCGTGTAGTTGAGTCATTCTTCTATGGATGGACGTTCACAGCAATCACAGGGAGCAAACGTGGAATTAACTATTTGGACCCTAAAACCTACCTAGTCTGCAAGATGATATTTTATTGTTTTTTTTATGTTTTATAGGTTTTTTACATTATAGCCGGCCTTTGTTGAAACAATATGTTTTGAACAAATTATACAAGAAGGTGGTTGTTTCGCATCGAACGAAATTTTTTTTTAATGTTTTCTGGATTATTCTGGACAAAAAATGTCCTTACTTGTCTTCAAAGTTAATGGTTTTCGGGTTATAAGCGATTTAAGATCTGAAAAACCATCCATTAATTAATTGCCATTTGCAATGCTTCAACACTTAGTTAAAAATGATAACTTTAGATGTTGCCAAGTGTCTGAATTAAAGTTCAAAAGCCACGAAGAGTATTTTGATCTTTACTTTTTTATTTTAAAGCGTTGCTATTTAATTGTTAATATCGCGCTATGGGCCACGCGTGCGTCCCTCTGTGTTCATTGTAGTATCTCTACGCTACAGAGAAGCATGCGTGGCCCATGACACGTTATTAACGGTTGAATAACAATGCTGCGAAATAAACTAAGAATAACACACTCTTCGAAGTCTTGTTTGGGAAGGTTTTAAGTTTTTTCAGACTTGAATTGCTTCTAACTCAAAGACGGTGAACTTTTTAAAAATGTTATGACCTTTGTTGCCCAGGATGATAAAAAACTCTCCGGAGTCATAAAAAGAGTTTTTTGTAATTCGTTAAAAACATTGTTAACACAAATGTTATAGTCTGCCGCCCGGCAGCCCTTTGAATCATGTTGAAGGGCATCCAACAAAAGACATTATGAAAAGAATCGAACCGTAAAATTTTACTGTTAAAATTAAAATTTGATGGGTAGATACAAGGTTATAATATTCACATGACCTCAAGTCAGATATAGGATAAATCAATTATCATTGGTTTATGAAGTTAGCATTTAAAAGTCGTAAACGTCACTGGTAGATGCGTGCTAAAGCAAGAGTATAAATTAAATGATTGGTCAGCATTTTCAAGTCCCGTAAATTCATTGATTTGATTGCTTTTGTTTTTATGAGATAATAAAAGTGCCATACGTGATTGCGATGTTGAACGAAAAACAAACTCGAATTTGTTTTGGATGGGTCATATTTATATAGGGTTTCCGAGCTTAAATTGATATAGTGAAATGGTAGATAGTATAGACGTGACCTCTCATTTCTGAAAATAAAAAAAATTTTAATTTATTATTACGGATGTACAAATCTTTAATATCACATATTTCATGCACTATGGAACCGATTTTGATGAAATTTTACACAATAACAAAATTACCTGGGAACAGCGTAAATCTAGTCGCACGGTTGAAAAATCCAGGGCCTCACTGGAAATTTTTAACTTTTCTTGTATTCTGTCAAAAACAACGCATCTTAAGCTGAATATAGAAATGTTTGATTATCAACAAAAAAGCCCACAATTATTCAAAATAGATTGATTGTGCGTCTTTTCGTTTTTTTATTAAAATTTTTCATTTATTTAAATATAAGTCAGGCTATGTGACACAAAACTCAAAACTTCAAACGGTAATAACCTAATTCCATAAATATTTTAGAAAATAGTGTTTATAATTAGTCTAGATATGTGTTGAGAATTCAGTTTTTATTTCTTTGTATTTTAGTTAGTGCATATACTCCGGTTTTATTGTTTTGCAGAAAAAAGAAAAATGATGTTAAATAACAGGCAAAATCAATGTTAATGCATTTTAGCTATTTTTGTAATGACTGAATGAATTCTACAAACTGATGTATAACACTATGAGTTCTACTTTAAATTTAGACCTCATTTGGTATGCAAGTCCACTAAATTTGACCTTCACACAAAATGAAATTAAGCAAAAAATCCGCTAAGACGTAGTAAGCTGGTCCAGACCTGACATTTTGTCATGTACCGATGTATGCATTATTTAACTTTATCGAAAGTAGGATTATGGCTAGAGCACGATAATTGTATCTATTCTGATAATCAGCCCGGACCTGTGTGATGGGTTTTTCTATATTTTATCGTAATTTTGGGTTGATCTGAAAAGTCAAATTCAAAGTGAAGTGAGGTGAGCGTATCTGAGATTTTGTGTGAACCGAAGACACCTTCACTTTTCATTCATTTAAACTGAGTTTTGGTAAATAAACTGAGCAATCTGAAGTGAGGTGAATGTATCTGAGATTACGTGTAAAACGAAGTCCACTTAACTTTGCATTCACAAGTATTCTGGCACAGAATGTCATAGCCAAACGGAATTTAATCTCAAGTTTAAAAAAATCTCACTATTTCTGTAAATCATGAAGCAAAACGAATTTCAGACTATCAAAACAAGTTTCCTGATCTTCCTATTTTTGCACTTGTAATTCTGCCCACCAGCTTTCATCGTCCGTTACAATTGTTTTCAAAGAATTTGGGTCGCTGTCTGCAATTTCACGCAGGAAAGACGCGCCTGCTTTTCCCGTCTATGAGGAAGCCCGGAACGAAGCGAGAACACACCTTCCAACGGTTGGAGGAGTGCGCGCGCCTTCGCAACTCTCTTCCTTCGTTAAACCGTTTCCACCACGTGTGTGTTGTTGTCCGAGATGGGGCTTCATCGCCGAATGCTTGTTGTACCATAGAAAAAGTTTCAACGAAAGATTTTTTAAGACGAACGCAAAACTTTATCGCACTTTGTTCCATGTCACGGATTCGCCCAAGGTCACGTGAACACAGATCACACGGCTGAATATAACTCCAGACTGGAGCGACCAAACACCAAACTCGGTGAAATTTGGCACACACACATATCAGACAACGCGCTATATAGTTCCGGGGTTGTTCGAGAGATGCGCTGCTTGTATTGAATACAGAAATTTAGTTCGGGATTTGTTCAGACTTACTGTGTAGATCCTGGTTATTACCTAACATATTACACAAACTCAGTAACTAACTTGCGAATGTTCCACAGATAACGAGACTCAGGACAAATAGAAATCGTCTTTCCAAAAGAAATGTTGGTTTTTATACAGGATGGACTAAACAAAAAATGATCTATCTTGAAAAATTTCTTATTCGCAATATACATACAAGAATTTACTTTTCAATGTTATGTCATCTAAGCAAATACAGAAATTTCTGAAGACTCTTTGACAAAAAGACTGTATGTACATAATCCTTCTTTTCTAATTTTGGTTGAGGTAGTTCATTAGCATATTGATGTAGACACGACTCTTTAAATAATCCAAGAAAACGAAGTCTAGTGGAGACAAATCGAGACTCCTATGTGACTGTACCCATTCCTTTAATAAACGAGACTCCGGTAGACTCATAGGAATGAGCTGTGTATCCTTCATGTGAAATTATCTTGCATGAAAGGTGAGTTGTGCCTCTGCGAAGCGATCCTTTTTGACTGAATTTCCAAGAAATTAGGGGGCTGAAATGCCCCATCCGCTCATCACAGATCCCATTTTTCGCACAGCATGTGTTCCCGTGAGAATTCAAATATAAAATGAATTATTTGCTGGCCCTGTATTTTCAGAGTAAGTTGTACTTTATACCTGTTTCTTAGCTTGATTCCCGTTCTTCCACCGTTTGTTTAAGAGGAAGCTTTTTCAAATGGAATTATTCCTTTTATACTATCAGCATCTCTAAATCATCACACTTAAAGGTCTTAATTTAATTACACTTGGAATGGATACTTCATAGAATATTGCGTATGTGTATTCATACTTTTATTATTCATGTGTCGTTGCCATTTATTAATGCTACTATAAAATATTATTGTTCTCACTTCTCATGATATAATTTTTCAGAACGCTTGGGATTTGGAGACAAGCTATGAAATGCAGACGACGCCCGGATTTGATAGAGCGGTGCCCAAAAATGGTGAGTTTGTTTTTGCATTGTGCATCATAGATTCCCATGAACGGTTACAGAAATGCCTCTTATAATCTAGGGATACTGATTTTTGACGAGATGTGAGCAAATTAGTAGGTCAAATTGGCAATTTATTATTTTTTTCGATCTGTTGTCAGAACAAATAGAATAGGCTGTTTAAATATTGTTGAGCTTTTCAAATATGCTTCACTCACTTTTATACAGAAACTTGCAGTTAATAAAAAACCATTATACAGGGCGTTAAGTAGACGATTCTTTCAGTAATTTTAAGACAAAAAGTGCATCTAAACATGGTCCGCAAATTCTTCGTTCTCAAGATCCAGAGTGCTAAAATTTAAATAAAATGTTTTTTCGTAAATTTCTTAAATATCCTTTACCTAATTTTGTTGTAATTTGGCAGTGGTATTTATAACATTAAGGAGCTAATCTAGCAGTAATTTGATTAAATTTATTAAGTACAGTGGCGTCTCGAGCAGGATCTGAGCGAATATTTGTGAGAAAAAAATGTACGCCATTGAGTTTCGTGCAATTTTTACTATGCTGTTTGGTACAAGCAAATATAATTATAAACTTATTGTCTCTTTAATTTTTCCATATCTCGCTTAGTTTTCGAGAAAAAAGACCACTTAATTGCATATCCCTGGACCACACAAACATATGGGTAAAAGTTTCTTTTTGAAATTATTATTTTTTATAATTGTTTGTTAATAATTATGTACATTAACATCTAAAGTAATGAATTTCACTAAACTAAGAAATAGTAAAGAATAATCAAATTAGTAAACAACTTGACAGTTGTCAAAGTATTTATAACCTATTAGAGTATAATTTTTATAAAACGTGTTTTCAGTAGTAATTTTTTGTCCAATATGGTTCAATTTACTAATAGTGAAATGGCAGATATGCATTTTTGTTATGGAATGGCTCATAGAAACTATAATGCTGCAAGACGCATGTATCATGAAATATTTCCACAGCTTGTAGTGCCTAATAGAAGAACTTTTATACAGCTCGTCAAGTGTAGGAAGCGATGCGAATTTTTGAATAATGTCGCGCCTTCTCGGTGCGCAGTAGCTAGGGCTCAAGCAGTAGTCTCTTGTCGTATCTAGACTAGTTAGCGTAGTCAGGAGAAAAATTGACAGGCAGTGAAACAACTTTTTTACTTATTATCTGTGAATTGTATGTATTCTTACGAATTCATGGGTTGAATACATACAATTTTACGCTAATAATTGTCGCCATTTATTCCTTGGTGTGCTAAGAGATTTACTCGTTTAAGGGATTTTAAATCCAAATTACAACGTAAAGTTTTATACAGGACAAACTAGGGAGGTTGTAGCAAATTATATATTTAGTCTATCGACATCTTTTTTGACACCAAACCAAAAAGACGAAGAGCCACTCCGAAATCTGATTTTGACGACTTTGATAGAGGATTGCTTCGTAGATCTATAATGAATTTTTACATAACGGAAAAGAAGGTTCCAACTTTGCGGCGCAGACACAGGAAATTTGTTCAAGAACACAACTACACTGGATCACATGAAACTTTATGGAAAGTGATGACGACAATGGGATTTCGTTGCAGGAAGGCAAGAACTAATAGAAGAAACCATCTCAGGAGAAATTTTCTGAGAAGGATGAAAGAATATAGAGAAAAAGATCGTCCTATAATTTACATGGACGAAACATACATCCATTCATCACATACGCATGAAAAGAGTTGGAGCGATAATACCAATGAGGGCCTTGACAGGCCAGTTTCAGAAGGACATTTGATTGTTTATTAATTATATAACAGGTGTGGAAACATAAAACTATTTCTGTAAAACTATTGAATTATGCAATTTTGAAAATATTGATCCCACAGAAGAATGGAAAAAGCGAAGTGAGCATGCCAAAGGTTTTGAGAAGCAGTATATGGAAATGGATCCAGCACTCCATTTAGTTGTGGATCAAATAATAGTAAACCTAGACGAAGATACCGATAGCGAAACCGAAGATTTAAGTTTAAGTATTAGCTCAGATTGATCAGATTCCGATTCCGAACTTTCAGGATTTGATCGTCTGTGAAACTTCATAAATCTTTAAAATATTGCCTACTGTATCTACTACGATGTTAGTTTTTTGACCTTACTTTTCATTTCATTGTTTATTAATTGAAATTATTATCAATTAAAAATAGAATAAGTACCAATCAATTTCAGTCTAGCTACATAGCATTCAATACTTATTTTATGGAATGAATTGTTGTGGTTTCCTTCTGACACATGCCAACAATTTCGATTAAAAAAAGCAGGCTTCACATAATACGTATTCCATTATTGAGATTATTCGATTAATTTAGGTCGCAGACTGTACCACTCGAGGTTTTGCTCCGACTGCATTCTCCATCTCTCATTTGCGCAATCCCAGCAAATCCTCATATCTCTTCCTACATTTGACGAGCTGTATGTCTATGCACGACTTTCTGAAACAGGCAGCTTTAAAAGATCGATGCTAACATCGGGAGGCCTGCAACGGTATGAACAGTTCAAATTAAAGCTGTATCAAATGAAATTGAAGCAAATCCTCAGACCACCACTCGGAAGATAGCCGAAGCATTTTTGGATGAAAATTACCATAATCGCTCTATTGGGATAGCAGGCCCATTACCTATCCCCCCTCGCTCACCCGATATGAATCCCTTAAATTATTTTCCCTGGGAACACCTATTGAAAGAGGATTTACGGAATAAAATCATTAATTCATGTGACATAATAAAAAATAAGCCAGGCATTTTCAGGAGAGTGATTAATTATTTAATGACGAGGCGTTCTATTGAAGCTAAAGGGGACCACTGCCAACGCTTAATTTAGTGAAATTTGTTAGTCTGGATGTTATTGTTATTTAGTATTTATTGCTGTTACATAATTAGTAATAAAAAATCATAAAAAATAGATTAATAAAAGAAACTTTTAGCCATATTCCTTGGTTCGTGTGGTCCAGGGATACGCAATTAAGTGGACTTTTTTCTCGAAAACTAAGAAAGCCACGAAAAAAATTCGGAAGACAAAAAGTTATATTTCTCTTTACTTAATCCAAAGAGCATGATGAAAATTGCACAAAAGTCAGTATCGTACATTTTTTGTCACAAATATTCGTTCAAATCCCGCTCGAGACGCCACTGGACTTAATAAATTGAATCAAGCTAGGGCTAAATTAGCTTCTTAATGTTAAAAATATCACCGCCAAATTACAACAAAATTAGGTAGAGGATATTGAAGATGTTTATGAAAAAACATTTTTTTTTTAAATTTTAACACCCTGTATCTTGAGAACGAAGAATTTGCTGACCTGTGTTTATATGAACTTTTTGTCTTAAAATTACTCAAAGAATCGTCTGTCAAATGTATGGTACATACTTAACATCCTGAATTTGGAAAGGAAACTTTCTACTTTATAATTATTTAAAATGTAAATTACTCCATGAAATTGTGTGATTTTTTTCTGATGTTTACGGGTGAAGTGGAAGAATAGCTACATAAACTTAATTTCGTCTTTTTATAAAGATAATCATTATGAATGAAGTCGTTTATCATCATAGTTATTTACTATTTACGGAATATCGTATTTTTGTAAATTCAAGAATTTGAATATTTCGAGTCGATATTATCAAGTAATCTACCGTTAGAGACGATATTTCTACCAACCTCCACAATGAAAACTTGAAGGAGGCAAAGTGTGATGATGTAACATCTGAAAGCTATCCTGTGGTTATAGTGTCGATAATCCCCATATTTCTATAGCCAGTCGAAACCACATGTGCTGAAAAAATCTTCTTTATTGTAAACGCTTTGGTCACAACGATGACCTTCTTCAGTAACCTTCTCCCCCTTGACAATATATTGTCAAAGTCATTTTACTGAATAGTACCGCAAACATGTCCGTTGAAACATTTTACATACGTTACATAGTCCCATTTTTAGTCACCCTAAAAGAACATTCAACATATTTGGTTAGAACTAAGTCTTCTTCACAGCATCACGGACATTATGCATGGTGTTTTGGAAAGCCTCTAGGGTCTAAAGCTCAACGAGTCCTCTACATCTTAAATTGTTAAAACCAGTAAAGCTGACCGATCACATTTCTTATCTACTCCTATAAACCCCATAAAGATAAAGATGATCTACCACCTCCTTGCGCACTATATACTTCGTTGTTTGCCAGCAAGACAAGACCTATCCATATTGATAATTACTAACAAGCATGAAACGATGACGTATACGGTTGGTGCTGCATACTTGGTATTCCAGCTGATTGGCGGGTTTTTCAATGATGGTGGGCTACAACTATCCATTCTCAAATAGGACTCAGTTTTAGCTTAGGTCAATTTAGCTTTCTGCATTATCAACGTATGGTTCGAGATATACAAGTTTATCAGTAGACCATATCCATACCGCCATATCCGTTGCCTGTCTCCAGACCAAAAAATACACAAGATTCCACATTTTCAGGATATTTAACCGGTATCCCAAAGTTCCATGTACTGTGTACGTAATCATTTATACCGAAAACAGTATACACTAAAATGCGCTAAAAGGTAGTGACGGAGGAAGCACGGAGTTGAAAGTGACAACAACTTGAATTTTTCAACAGATTGTCTATTCTATGCCTGCTCATTGAGACATCCCTTAAGCTCATAAATTGAATAATCCGCAATAATAATATACAACGTTTGTATAAATGCTTGTCGAAAGGTTCCTACTATAGCATGAATAATAAATATTAAATTCAACTAATATATTTTTAAACCATAACTGGCGATTATGAAAATAAGCGAACCGCTTTATTTATAAATATAATAATAAAATATATTTAATACCTAGGAAATGCGAAATATAGGTTGACTCTACAAATAGAATCCGAATTCGACCGTTCGAAAATAGTTTTGCAGACCATTTGTTTTCGGTAGACCGGTGAAATCAAAGTTTGATCATGCTGTTGAATCATAAAGAAAATGCTTTTCCAACTTACACCTTATCTAACAAGTACATTTTTTAAAAATGTCGACGAGTAGGTAGACCTTACGCAACACTTAGGTTGACCCTACGCAACACTGTCATCAAATCAAGGAATGATATTCGACATCTCTCTTAACAAAATATTGGCTAGGAACCTGTACAATAGAGAATCATACATTCAGTCCATAGTCCAATAATGTGACCAGCCTACCGTCCGACTGACAGTACCAACCTGCCAGCAACATCGCAATCCAGCACAGGGTTATATTTATGAATACACGCATCATCGCTCAATCACCCCTCAGCATTCAAAGCAGGTAGACATACGCTCGTTGAGCTATTCGGCCCGCATTTATCGAAGATAATATATAATAAGCCTGCTATCAGGTTTTTCAAAGGTTTTTGAGCTTAATATGAAAAAACAACTGGCAGAGCTTTCCAGTAGGAATATGGTGATATCAGAAAACAGCATGGTTTCATCAATCGTAAAAGTACTGAAAATACGGAGTACATTTTTACTGATTACGTAATCAAGCACTTAATAAAAAACAAAATGTTTGTGGCCTTTTTCTTACGCTTCTCTCGCGCTTTCGATGTTGACCATGAGACCGTGAGCTGCTGCTGTATAAGTTGTGCAGATATCGTTGGTTTGGAAGAACACTGTCACAAGTGGAAAAGTATTAATTTTCAGGAGAGATGTTTTAAAATTTCAATGTGCTAGTTCTCATCATAATTTTTTTAAGGTAAAAAATAAGGGGTAAAATATTTTATAACCTTAAGGGTCCCGTTATAATCACTTAAATATAATAGAAAGACATTACCTGTCCTCACCTTTTTACCTGAAATTAGCATTTGTGACAGTTTTTCCCAAAATTTCTTTAACATTTTTGATTGAAACGTTTGACACAAAATAAAACAATGGAGTAATTTATGGTCGAAAATACAGTTTTATTTATTTAAATTTACAGAAATAAACAAATAAAAATATTTAAAGAACAGCACAGAAAATATGTAGGTAGAAAGTCTATAATCTATCATAAAAATCGAAATAGTACATTGGGACCACTCGTTTGTCAGGTTTTTTATTAAACAATGATAATAATGATTTTTTTTTTAGTTTCTGTAATACCGACTTTTGCCTCGTAAGCATTTTTTAACTTCACCGAAGAGAAATCTGGTTTTTGGCGCCTCAAATGTAAAGTGTTAACTTGTGAATACTCCTTTTCATTGTAAGAGGTTTTGTAGAATAGCACTCCCGGGCACTCTTTCTTTACCATAAACATTTTTAAGTCGGTGATTTTAACGGTTTCACCCTCTTCATTTTTGAAATTAGGTTTCATGCCGAGCTGAGAAGAAAGATCCTTCAGGTCAAGGATATCTTTGTGACACATTTCATTAACAGAAAATGGTTTCCCAGTTTTTTTGCCTGTCCGATTATTGTTGCGTACTGCTCAGGCACATAGATGGACCCAGATTTGCGAATTTTGGCAACTGCTTTTTCAATAATGGCATGTACATTATCGCCCTCATTTTGCGTGTGCCCAGCGATAAAAAATTTGTGAGTTATAGATTGTACAGACTTTAAATTTGAAACTGCATAAGTGTATAAAGACATGATAAATCGGTTCTTATTTTGTCCCGCACAATTGTCACTGTAAAAAATTATATCTAAAACTTTTGATTTGTCGTCCGAGTTTGAAACGTTTTCTTGCAAATTTCGTAAATAATTCCACACGCATGAACCTATTTCATCAGCACCCCTTTTGGCTTCTGCCTTGTGCCAGAGATAACAATATGCTTGATTTGTTTGCA